AAAAGTGTGATTAAAATGATAAATTCAATTAGGAGGGGATTCTTTGGGGGGGACTAGTGAGGATAGAAAAAAGATTTGTTGGGTGAAGTTGGAGAATATTTGTAAAGAAAAGTTGGTATGGGGACTAAGTGTTAAAAATCTTTGAGTCTTTAATCTTTTTCTGTTAGGAAATTAGTGGAGTAGACTATTACGCCAAAAGGGAGGTTTGTGGAGAAGGGTGCTTGATGAAAAATACGGAGTGACTAGTAATAATTGGGTAGAATGGGCTAGGGATGGGACCACACGAGGATCACAGTGGTGGAGAAACATTTGTAGTTTAAATAAGGTGTTAAAGGGTCTAAAGGATGGTTGACTAAGAATTTAAGGTTAAAGTTAGGATGGGGGATAGATGTTCTGTTTTGGAAAAAAAATTGGGTGGGAAATTTTTATCTATATGACAAATTTCCATGATTGTTTAAGCTTGTAACAGTGAAAGACATTACAATTGCTAAAAGGAATCATGGAAGAATAATTCCTAGCAGTGGGACTTTATGTGGCCACGACAACCACACCAAAGGGAAGCAAAAAGCATTGCATAGCTTGTAGAGGTTTTACAAAATAATAATCCAGTGGCCAATGATGAGGATAGATGGATTTGGCAATGTAAGAAGGATAGGTGTTATTCTGTGAAGTCACGCTATAAGTTTTTGATGCAAGACCCAAAGCAAGAGTCACCTACAGTCATGAAGAGATGTTGGAATCCATTAGGCCCTAAGAAGGTTTGTGCTTTTATGTGACAATCCTTATCCAAACAAATTCCAACTAAAGATAAATTTTTTGTTAGGAAGTCTCACTAGAGACTTCATCTTCTCTAGTTTAGTTTGACTATTTCTTTTTAATTTAATTTATTATTATTATTTTAATCTTAGTTAATTTATTAGGAGTAAATTAACATTATTGTAATATCTCAAATTTTTGGAAATTTTATCATTTAAGTTAGGGACTTGATTGTGAGAAAAGATTGTTTTGGGGCCTAATGTGAATATTATGAAAGCTGAGGGACTTAAAAAGTGAAAGATTTTAGGATAAGGATCAGCTTCCTTCTTTTTCCTTTTTCTTTCTTTCTTTTCTTCCTCCTCAGACCCGATTCTGCTCTTCTTCCCGCTGCAGCCCGAAAGAAAAAAGAAAAGGGAACCCGGCACCAGCCTTTGAGAAAACCGGTGAGAAAGCTTGGATTTCTCCTTCTTTTCTTGTTCTAGAACACATTTA